GCCACCAGGGAGGGCCCAAGGTGTCCTGTTTTTAAAACATGCTTTTTTAACAAGGCAGTTGTCAGGGTATTCCTCAGATAGTCATAGAAGGAAGTGCTTGTACTTAACACTGGATAGAAAGGCTGCAACATAATTAATACCTCTGTGCCTCAAGACAAAGTCGTGGTAAATAAAGTCCTGTGCAGTACAGTTGCCATCACTTTGGGGCTTCCTGTCATCTGCATCACTTGGGGGCATCTGTTGGAATCTATGGTTTGGCCCTTAGAACAATTGTTTCAGTTTCTAGATGGTTCTGACAGTGTTTCCACCCTCTATCCAAGTAATCTTTCGAGTCTTAAACTAAGACTGTTATCTGAAAAAGCTGGTAACGTTATAGGGCAGGGAGAGGGGCACCCCAGCACCCCATACCTGTCTTCTTTAAATAGTTTTTGCCACCTGCCACATCAAGACAAAACATATGAGACCTTTAATGGAAAGGAACTTTAATAAAATCAGTGTGTAATACAGAAAATGTAACTTTAAAATCAAGCACCCAAAGTTACCCATCCCCTCTTGGGTAAATGTGTAACCAAACAGGATTGGCCCAAAACAAGGCCCAAATGCCACTACAGATCTGAAGTACCTTCCTGCAGGGACCCATAGAAAAGGGTCAGAGGTAGTCAAAAATTCTAGAAGGGAAAGAACCACATGAAAATCAAGATAAATGCTGCCATAGTCAGCCTCTCCACGTTCCCTCACCCATATCTGTTTCAGGCGGTCCAGACCAAGAAAGAAGAAACATGTCTCCCTGTGCCACGTGCCTCCCTTAGGTCTCCTTCTGGCTCTCCATCCAGCTTCCTTCCCACTCCAGTCTCTTCTCCAGCTTCTTCTCCCTGCTCAGCTCCACCCTTCCTCTTTTCCTAGGGAACACCTGTTATAATAATGTATCAATTATATGTCAGTGTGAGTATACAGGTCATGTGACTTAAAACTAAAAATTCAAGGAATTGGACTCATTATTAAGCAATATCCATCTTGGTTCTTGTAGATGGTTGTAGAAACTGAGAAGTGTAGCATCTGCATGAAGATGGCGTCGCCCGAGGATGTGAATGACGTGCTGGCTCACATCGGTACCTGCCTGAGGAGGATATTTCCTGGCCTCTCTCCAGTGTGAGTTTTCCGGGGAAGGGGGACCACAGCAGCGAACATGTTCTTCTTCAGCATGAAATAAGATTATGCCTTCATCCGCCTCTCTTAGTTCTTAGTTCTTCTCTCATACTTCCTTCTCTTAAATATCTAAACTCTAACTCAAATCTTTGTGCTTTATGTGTGAGGTTTCTATAGGGCCATGCCTTATTCTGGAAAGAACATGAGTTAAGAAGGGATTTGGCGGTTTTTCAACTCTACTCATTAGACCAAAACTTAATGTATAAACCTTTTCAGTAAAACTGGAGATTGACCTCAGAGTGAATTTTCCTCACGCTATTAACTGAATACCAAGGGCTGAATACTTTGTATAAAAGTGTTGAACATAGTATTGATGAGTAAGAGTGCTTCATTTTCTGTTGTTTTTCCCTCCTGTTCAGTCAGAGGAAATTTAACGAGAAAACAACCATGAAAATGAGCTTCTTTCCTTTTCCTCCTCGTTTTCTAAATATACATTGAGGGATATTAGTAGCTTTTCTTAAGCTTTTTGTTTATTTTTTTTGTTAAGCATTTTTTAGTCAATTATGCACTTGGGTAATGGAATTGTTACTTAAGAAATGTGAGATTTATTGGAAAGAGAGAAATAAATTAGCTGAGGTGAAAGAGCAGAGAGATTTTTGTCAAAAAGCTCCATAAAAAAACAGTTCAATAGTCAGAATACCTTTGTGATGGAAGATGATACAGGTATCAGAGAAAGTCTTTTTCCTATGATTCTCCCTACACGGGGAGGCCTTGAAGCTTCAGATAGACAACTGTAAGATGATTTTCTGAGCAGCTTGCTTGGTGGGAATGGGAGGTTGTAGCCAGAGGGGGATTTTGAAGACTGTTGCCTTATAGAACATGTGTCTACATTGTCCTACCTGAAAGTTAACAGGCAAAGCAGCAGAAAAACTGAGTCTTTGTGTCTTTCAGACCTTCTCGTTCGTTGTCTGAAAGTGGCTCAGTTGATGGGAATTTTCTTTTAGGTTCCTTGAGTTTGAGACTGCTATTTGGTTCTTTTCACTGGGTTCTTTGTTTCATCATGTAAAACCAAAAGAATGGAGGGAAGAACCCTGTGCTTTCTGGTTGTCCAACTTGGGCTTCTATTTTCTGACGCTTCAGTCTTCATCCCTTGGACTGGGTGTAGAGGGAGCTAAGTGTCCCTGGCCTCAGTACAGTAGATGGAGGGGTGCTTTGAGGCTGCCCCCTACCTGGCTAGTAATTCCCCATGTGAGGACCTCTCTTGTGTGAGGAGAGATGTGGGGTCAGAAGGGTGAGGTGAGGAGTGAACCAACAGTGTCACTAGGTAAATAGCCAAAAGCAAACATTCATTTTTTAAAAAATAAATATGTATGTTATGTATTTATGTATGTATATGTGTGTGTGTATATATATATAATTATTTAGAGTATATATAATTATTTTTTACATGATTCTTCATTTTGCTCATTTTTCCATCTCAGTTGTAATCCTCGTGGACTTCCACCACCAGTTCACCCGTGTGCCATCACCATAGTCCCATGTGCTCTTCCCACCCCAGTTTTGATCCTATTCCCCTTTACGCCCCCATAAAATATCAAAAATAAAATATCTTTGGTTTATAGTTGTTCATTTTTAGCTTATTACAATTGGTTTTTCCCCCCAGACCCCTTACACTCCTGCTGTGAGTGAAACCATCCTGTATTTTTCTTTTTCTTTCTGACTTATTTCACTAAGCATGATCCCTTCCAGCTCCATCACGTTGCTGCAAAAGGCATGAGTTTATCTTCTTGATTGCTGAGTAATACTCCGTTGTATGCACATACCACATCTTCTTAATCCAGTCATCTAATTTTAGGCATTTGTGTTGATTCCACGTCTTCCCTATTATAAACAGAGCAGCAGTAAACATAGAGGTGCAGGTGCCCTTCTGAATCAGTGTTTTTGTGTCTTTTGGGAAGATACCTAAGAGTGGGATTGCTGGGTCATATGGAAGCTCCTTTTTTAGCAGTTTGAGAAACCTCCAAACAGCTTTCCATAGTGGTTGTACCAGTTTGCATTCCCACCAGCAGTGCAGGAGAGTTCCTTTTTCTCTACATCCTTGCCAAAATTTGTTGTTGCTAGTTGTCTTAAGATGTGCCATTTTCACTGGGGTGAGGTGGTATTTCATTATGGTTTTAATTTGCATTTCCCTTATCACAATTGATGCTGAACACTTTGTCACAGGCCTGTTGGACACCTGCATTTCCTCTTTGGAGAAGTGTCTTTAGTTTTCTGCCTATTTTTTGATGGGGTTCTTTACTTCATTTTTGTTGTTTCCTCAGCTCTTTCTGTATCTTTGTGATCTGTCCTTTGTCATTAGTATTGTGTGCAAAATTTTTCTCCCAATCAGTGGGGTGGCTCTTTGTTTTGTATAGTGTCTCTCTTGTTGTACAGAAGCTCTTTAACTTGATGTAGTCCTAGCTGTTTATACTTTCTTTCACTATCCTTTTTTGGGTGATGTACCTTTATTAAAGGTGTTACTGAGGTATATGTCATATAGTGTTTTGCCAACAATTTCATTTAGATATTTTATACTTTTGGGTCTTATGTCTGATTTTTTAATCCATTTCAAGTTGGTTTTTGTGCATGGTATGAGGTAGTAATCTAACTTCACTTTTTTATGGGTCACAGCCCAGTTTTTCCAGCACCATTTATTGAACAAGCTTTCTTTGTTTCATTGCATATTCTTTGCTCTTCTGTTAAAGATTATTTGTCCATAAAACTGTGGGTTGATTCTGGGTTTTCTATTTGAATACTTTGGTCTGTATGTCTATTCTTGTTCCTAAAACATTCTTAGTAACAGTTTCCTCACCATCCTCAAAGCCACCAGGGACTATATGCCATACTCATAAATTTGCAGTAACTGTAACCTACTTTCCTTAAGCTAACTTTTAGCAGTGTGACTTCCTACAGGAGTTTCCTTATAATTTCCTTCCTTTCATTCCATATTAGCATTGATGAAATAAGAAAATTATTAAGCATGGCCTGTAAGGGCTTAGAAGGCCCTCAGAGCAATATTTAGAAACTGATTTTCTCTGAAATGCAGCCTTATTTGTTTAGTATTCTAGGGATCTAGAGGGCATTGATAATTTTGCTTTGGTTTAGAGCCTTTCATTTTTTTTCTTCCCAGGGAAAATTTTTTCTGTTTCTAAAGAAATGGTCATTGCATATATGTTGGCTTCTAAATCTGTGACCTCTGCCTTCACCTTGATCTTCACTTCCATCTCCCAGTAGCTTGTTGGGCATCTCTCTAAGGATCTTCCCGAACACCTCACACTTGGAATGTTCTAAAGAGAACTTTTTAGTCTCTCCTTTCTCTCCCCCCACCTGCATATAATCCAAGTTCTGTTTCAGTGCCTAGCTTCATCATTTCCATTCCCATTTCCAGCGTCACATTTACATTTGCATTTCCCAAGTTAAAAGCTGAGCTGCTCTAACCAATTAGTTGCCAAGCTCTTTTCAATCCGTCTCGCTAGGTCTTGGTCTGGTGGTTTGTCTTTCTTCCCATTTCCACTGCCTTCATTCAGACCTTCTTGCATTCCCAGGGCAGCATTGTTCTTGCTAGTCTCTCTGCAGCTTGTTTCCCCTCCGCCAACCACCTTTGCCAATAATCATCCTGTAATCCAGACATTCTCTGTGCCCAACATAAGCTCTTAATGATCAGGGTTCGTGCATGACACAGTGTAAATGGAGTTGCCTGGCATAGCAGACACGACCGGACCGTCCTGCCCACAGCCAGTCTGTTCCTGAACACAGCAACCTCTTTGGTCTTTTCTATAGGTTCTTGATTTTGACAAGCTCCTCCTCCAAAAGATACTGCCCAGATACCTGCTTACCTATGAGCATTCGTTCACACGTGCTTCCCCAGCTCTGTGATTGCTTCCCATGCTGGCTCGTGTTGCATTGTGTTATAATTGTTGGTGCATTTATTCACCAAGAGAGTTATACTGACTTCAGCCTAATGCTGGGCAGAGTGCTTAGTGTTGGGGTGCCCCTTGACTGCCTGGAACTGCATTTGAGAAGTTGTTTGACTTACTTCAGAAAACAGCACCACCTCCCCCCAAAGGGGAAAATGAAGTAGCTGTGAATAAATGCTTGCAGCCGATCTTCCACAAAGACTAGTATAAAGAACAAACCTCTGCAAAGGCCCCTCTGGGCCATCATGCTCCAACTAGACCCAATGGAAGAGGAAAGAGCTAGAAGATGGCAAAAAAGTCTTTCCTCTTGGGACCTTTGCTCACGCTATTTCTTCTGCCTCCAAAAGCCTTGGTGTCTTTGAGGAACTGAAAGGTGACCAGTGTGGCTGGAGGTGACCAGTGAATGAAGGAGGATGGAGATGGAAGGGGATGAGAAGTGGGGAAGGTTGGAACAGGGTAGGAGAAGGACATAACAGACTCTGGACTGTAGAATAGAGTGGTGAGAAGTTGGGAATTTTTTAACTTCATGGTGAGACCAGTGGAAGGTTGTAAGTAGGATGTGACGTGATGTCTTTTATAGTTTATGACAAACGAGAAAGCTAATTTGGACACTTGGCCATAACATAGTGGAGTGTCATGCATCTAGGCATAAGCTGGGAGATGAGAGATAAGGAGAGTGGACAGAAAATTTATTGTGCACCCAGCACTTGCTGGTGGATTAAGCAGGTGGGGAACTGCAGTGAGGAAAGGGAGCAGTTGAGGATGTTCCTGTGTTTCTGATGTTGCGACTGGTGCTGCTTTTCGATGGAATGGAGAGGCTTAGGGTAAGCAGGGGGCAGCTTTTTCTTTACTTATTTTTGGAAGGCAGATCCTATCCCGTCTGTTTTAGGCAAGCTAGGTTTGAGATGCAGGACACTGTGGAGCCTGGAGGAGAGCGATCCCGGCCTGGGCATGTAGTGAGCATGGGAATCTCTATTATGAAGATGGTCTTGAATAATCGGAGAGGGATGTGGACCCGGATGAAGCTTGTCCTAGAGAGAGCCCAGC